ATTGGTCTTTTTCTCTTTTCGTTCATTTCTTTTCCTTTAGTAAGATGACAGATATGCCCATGCCACCAGCAGCCATGGAACTGAAAGACTGTTTGCGAAGGACCGTGAAAACCATCCACTGGTATTTTTCTTTCACCAATGCGTTTTTCTGTATTGTTCATTTGGTGGCGTATAAAAATTCCTCCTTCATGTGCCTTCCACTCTAACCACTCGGTTGCCATCCTGGAAGAACTTTCTCTCTCTTGAAGCCAGTTTCCTCTCGGCGTCTTGTAAATGATCCGGTGGGCATGTCTTGCATGATGGCCCATAGATATAAAGCATTGGCATCGTATCCAACAATCTTTTGACAGGTTTTTGCTTGTTTTCCTTGATCTTCCATTTCTTTTTCTCTGATTTTGGTTTTTCCAGCCTCGTGATATCGATGAAATATTATACTGGGGCCACCCACCATATTTTTCTTAAAGAGATAGTACAAATCTTTGTTTTTTTCGTCAAACAGAGAGAAGAAGATGCCAGATTCCAGGGTGGTAAAGAGGTACGTCAAGGTAACACCGGGAATAGAAATACCTTGTCTCAACATGTCGATCTTTTTATCTTTCCAGAAGGCGCACATTTTTTCCAGGGCCTCACAAAAGGGTTGGACATCTAGGTTGTTGTACCAGATGAGAAATTCTCGAAAGGTCTGCATATTATTGTTCGACCAGACTTGTTGGCAGTACTGGTAGTCTTCGCCAGAAATGTTCTTGTTTTTCAACGTAGAAAAGAAGGCTTCGTGCGGTGGAAGGGAAGGGTGTTCTAATTTCTCAAGAGAGTCCAGCCATTGATAAGGAAAGAACCCCTTGGTTTGAGGACACTCGTAGGCCTTCAGAAACTTGTCGTAGCTGAAACCGGGAGCAAGAAAGTTGGTGACGTCAAGGAAGCGAAGATGTGGGGTCTTTAGGCACATGAAATTGTGATTACGCTTGATAGTAAACTGAACGCCTTCATTCTGGACCAGGACAGGAAACAGAAATTCTTTGACGGCATTCAAGTCATATTTACCAGAATTGAAGCCCAAGACAGGAAGTTCTTGTAGATATTCTTGGAAACGATCTCTCAGTTTCTTTAAAGGGTACACTTTTTTCTTAGGTTCTGGGCTGTTGTCCTCTGGTCTATCATATTCACACTCGTGATCATTCTCACTCTGATCCTCGTGTTCCCGATCTAAGGCCCTGTAAAACGAGGCACCTTGTTCTTCTACGTCATCGTCAATAAAGACACGATCTTCTTCAGTTTCAGACTCGATGTCTTCTTCCTCTTCATTATCTGTGTCCATGAGATCTTCTCCTCCATCATCACTATCTTCCTGGGTGAGGTTTTCCACTGTGTTAGTTTTTGAAGGGTCACCAGCTTCTGATTTTTGCTGTAGGTCTTGCAGCTTTTGGTCGATCGCTTCAAAAAGAAAGTTAAACTCTTTTCTTAACAGGTCATAGCTCTTTCCACTTATTTTTACGAGGTGTTCTAACATCTCTTTGACGAGCTGTTTAGAGTCCCCATCTGACACAAAGCACTTGGGTTGGTCGTAGTCTGGAACGTTGGAGCAGACACTCACGCTGAGGGGTATATGTTTAGCGTCCCATGTCAGTTTCTCTGTATCGTTAAGGTCTGTCTCAGGTGTAAACATACACTCAAAGTCAAACGTAGCTCTGTAGGGGAAGAACTTGAGATGCTCAGGAACAGTCAACCCTTCGTCTTCTAGCAACTGAAAAATGGTGGGTGGAGTCTTGTAAGCACCTCCTGGAAACTGGTAAGTTACTTTCGCTTCACAGGTTCGCTCGTGACGATTTAACATACCAACATGTTTCCACAATGTTCCACATCGTGAGCAGCTGTAGGACTTGGCATACTTCTTTAAATCTTTGATATAAGAAAAGTGATTCTGGTACAGGTTGAGGTAAAGAGTACTTGGGTAGTGGCAAAGGGAGCGGTGAACCAATTGTGCAGCAATGTCTGGTACTGTATTTTCTTCTTCGGTATTGTCTTCATCTCCCTCCTCTCCATCGGGCTTGGTGGGTTCGAGGGAATAGACAAAAATGTTGACTTCATACAGATGTTCTAGGTCGATCAGTTCTTTCAGCTTTACACCACAAGATTTCTTTTTCTCAGGAAAAAATTCTCTATATCGCTCATAGTAATGTTGTGCATCCCGCTCTAGATTCTTTTGGTGACAATCGTTGTGGAGTGCCAAAGCCCGAAAGAAGCACAAATTGTCGCTGTAGACTTTTCCATTATTGTGGTTGCGATCCAAGGCGACCAAACCATGGTTCTCGGCCAGATAGGAAGGCAAGTAAGTACCTCTCCCTATAGGATGACCTCGTAGCTTGGTGACGAAGAAAGTGATATTAGTCACCTGTTCTACGACCCAATTGGAGTTGGGGCGTCGCTGGCGTACCCATTCCAAGACGTCAAGGTTTAGCAATGCTTCACGAACTTGCTGAAGGTCAGCTGCGGTGTTAATTTGAAAAGGTTCTTCAAAGACTTGCTCATTATTTCTGGAGGCATAATAATATTGAAGTGCTCCAGTCTCGTTGTTGCGTAGAATGAAACCAAAAGACACATTCAGCTTAAACACCGTGGACTGGTCAGTGAAAATGTTATTCAAATGAGTGATAAGTTCTTGAGGTTGGAGAGAGGACAGGCGGTAATTGTACCAATCCAAAAGGCGATTTTTGCGGCTAAAACGAGTGCGTATTTGATGCCAGTGGTTGCGATATTCGGGAACGAGACTTTGTTGTGCTTCAGGGAGATCGGTGATAGATCTCGGCTCTTGCTGCCAACTAGAACTTGGAGTTGACTGCTTTTTTTCGATAGGGGTCGACTTTATTTTCTTGGTTTTACTCTCTAAAAGACAAAAAAAAGGTATACATCTATCTAAATAGAATATCTCCAATGTGGTCAAAATACAATTTCGCTTTATTTCATTTGTCGTGAACTTACCACCACAAAAAATTACGGCAAATTCAGAACCTTACCGCGGTCTATACTAGTACAGGGGAACAATGTCGATGTAAGTCACACGATACGTCCTCTTTGAAATGACCCTGATATCGGACCTTACGGTTTTAAGGACAAAAGAAGTGTTTAACAATGTGTGACCTCTATTATATTCAGTAAGGTATTGTGTAAAATGTACTGTAAACAAAGGCCGATAAAGCACTTTTTCAACATATCCTACTATCTATTATGCTTTGCAAAGAAAATTTACATAGTACTTATCATTTAATTTATACAAAATGTTATTTTGGTATTGCAAAAGAGTCTTCCTACCTGAGTCGTCTTGGCGTAAACGTTTTGCAGTCGTAGAGGGTTTGCTGTGAGCTGTTTTCTGATGTGCTATAAATGGGGCAAGATTGTGAAATGTCTCTCCACAGGTTGAACACTGATATTCCCGCT